CAGAATGAAAGTAATTATGCTCTATTAATTAATAATTTTTATAATTTACCTTTTAATGTCTATCATCGCAAGATGGTACACAGCAAGGAATAATAACCGACATTTTTATCATTTAAAAAATTTTAAATGTTTTTTACACTTTTTTACACTTAATTACAAAATTACACTCATAAATTACACTTATTAAAAAAATTAACTGATTTATCAATATCATTTATATTTGACATCACTTAATTTGACTTAATTAATCAAAGATGAATACAAAAAAAGAAATGAAATATAAGCCACCTTAAAGGTTGTTTAAATTTGAATTTGTGTAGAATTAGTTATCGACGGTGACATCGGATGGCGTTGACAACGGTTACAATTTTCATTCATTTGAGATCCCCCCCCATGCATACCTATTTCCCGACATTGTCAAAATTTACTTTATTTTTGTTAAAAAAAAGTATAAAAACGCGTATTACAAAAAATAGCATAAAAAACACGTTTCATAAGACTTGAATCATAAGACGAAACTTGTTTTTTAATATACTATTACGTCCTGTTGACAAAAAACTATCGTTTTGACGGTCGCTAAGTACTACGCAAAAGTCAACTTTTAATAGCAGTTTTCGAAAAAAAAACTTTCGTTCTCGAATGCAAAAGTGTCATTTCGCTATCTTGTATCAAAAATAACTATAAACACAAACATGAAATTAAAAAAGTTTTTTGCCTTTACTGAACAATTTACATTTTGTTACTTATCCCATTCTGGCACCAGGCTCTTCAATTTTCATCGATAATTTTCAAAATTTGCTATAAAATTAATTTCTTGAAGGATCCTTGTGGAAATATCACCAATTANTTGACATCACTTAATTTGACTTAATTAATCAAAGATGAATACAAAAAAAGAAATGAAATATAAGCCACCTTAAAGGTTGTTTAAATTTGAATTTGTGTAGAATTAGTTATCGACGGTGACATCGGATGGCGTTGACAACGGTTACAATTTTCATTCATTTGAGATCCCCCCCCATGCATACCTATTTCCCGACATTGTCAAAATTTACTTTATTTTTGTTAAAAAAAAGTATAAAAACGCGTATTACAAAAAATAGCATAAAAAACACGTTTCATAAGACTTGAATCATAAGACGAAACTTGTTTTTTAATATACTATTACGTCCTGTTGACAAAAAACTATCGTTTTGACGGTCGCTAAGTACTACGCAAAAGTCAACTTTTAATAGCAGTTTTCGAAAAAAAAACTTTCGTTCTCGAATGCAAAAGTGTCATTTCGCTATCTTGTATCAAAAATAACTATAAACACAAACATGAAATTAAAAAAGTTTTTTGCCTTTACTGAACAATTTACATTTTGTTACTTATCCCATTCTGGCACCAGGCTCTTCAATTTTCATCGATAATTTTCAAAATTTGCTATAAAATTAATTTCTTGAAGGATCCTTGTGGAAATATCACCAATTACATATTAATTAAAGTATCCTCTTTTTAAAGTAGCAAGCTGTTTTGTAAAATCGCCTTTAGTTTTTGAGAAATAAATTTTTGAAATGATGATTTTTTGTTTTTGATAATTCGTATAAAATCCATTTCTTGGAATATGAGTATGAAAATTTCCCAAAGTGTTAATACAAGTGTCCTCTTTCCAATGAACCAACAGGTTTTGAAAAATAACTTTTAGTTTTTGAGAAATCTTATCTGTTCCATCACCAGAATGGTCCAACAAGCTTCTATGCATACCTGTTTCTTAATGATGATATTTTCCAATCTCATTTAAGATTAGTATTTGCAATAAAATACCATAATATTTGCTGGTGCAGTTTTGATTAATAGGAGGTTTGAAAAAGAATAGATTATTTTAAACTTTAATTCTATGATCCATTTTATTAAAACCCAAAATTTTTACAGCTTTATGTACTAAAACATGAATGTGAAAAGAACACAAGCGAATAATAAACTGATACTTAAAAATATTTACAATAAGATAACAATACCGTGGTGGGCTGGTCTCGGACCAGGGCGCGAGAGAGTATATGAAAATAGGGCCCTACGAAGCAGATCCTCTGCGACACAACTAACCGAAATACAGAATAGGACGTGTGGCCGCTAAGTATCGTGTACGACGACGACTTTTCGTTTAACGTGCGTCTCCCACCCTGTTATTGCCTGCCCGCGTTTATTGTTTATATATTTTTTTTTTTGCTAAACCGTTCCTCATCCTCTTTTCGCTTTCGTTATTATAATTTTCTTCTTTTAGTTAATGTCTCGCTTCCAAACATCTCGTTTTAATTTAATTCTTTTTCTATGCTACTAAAAAACGTTACAACGAAAAAACGTAGTGGCAATAATTATAATAATAATAATAATAGTGATATAATCATAATAAAACGTCAAATGTTATACAATCGTGTGATTTAGTAGTCATGTTTATTGAGCACGACCGACTGGTTTACACTTAACACGATATAACAACACAGTTACAACTCTAGCTAAACCTAAGTGTTGAAAGCCTAATAATACTACCTCGTTCATTCACATTGAATTTATTTATTTTTTGCTTAGTTTTTCTTCTATTTTCGGGGGTTTGGGCGAAAGAGAGGCGGAGTGCGGGCCGGGGGTGGCACGGTGGGGGCCCAACAGCAAACCCGCCCCTGCCGAGACGCCGGCGCCGCGCTAACTCTAATACCCGCCTCCGCCCCCAAAATACGGACCAAACAGACTGACAGCACTAAGGCAATTTACTGTTTTCAACTTGGAATGTTAGAAAACACCATTGCTACTACTGGATTTTTTTTTTACTTCGACAGTGAATGGTTGTTGTTACTTCTTCTCTTCTATTATTTCCAGCTTCGGATCTCTTTTTTCTATATACTTTGAGATTCAAACCAAACTTTTCTAATCCACTTTTTTCTGTATCGTAATTCTGATTTTCTCGATTTTTTTTAATTAATTTTTAAATCTAATGTGCGAATGCGATGTCACTTTATGAAGAAGGTACTCTTCTAATCGCGGGGAGGATAATTTTGGTGTGCGCGAGTGTGTATTTGTTGGTGTGTTTTTCTTTGTGGGGTGTTAAAGTTAAAAATAATGAATTTTGGGAGGATCGACGGCCACCGCACTCGCACACTCACCCTTAACATTATAAAACCGCTTTAAGCAGCGAATCTTCTAAATTAGCAACAGGATTTGTACAACATATCGATAGGGAACGATATCGTTTTATCCATTAATTTATTATCGTTATTATTTAATTAATTAATTAATTATTAGTATCGTTATCATTAGTAGTAATAATTACTTTTTTTTTCTCTTTCCACTATTTATTGTGCATTCGATAAAACCCATTTAAAACGTATTTATGTATTTTTTTTTTCTTTGTTAATGTTATGTATGTATGCAGAGACAATTTTTTTTTTGCTTGAAAGCGCGAGCGCGTTGGAACGAAATCTTTCCTATCGAATATATATATAATTTTTTTTGTATATATAATAATCTATGTGTCCTGCGCGATGCCGAAACGGCAACACAGGTATGGCAGTACACTGGGCTATTTCGCTCTTAATAGTAGGTTTCTTGTTCTAGCCATCCTCCCGGGTTACGTCTCAAGTAGAAACGCCTCGTCTCGTCGTAGATGAAAATCGCCAACATGAACGGCAACGCCGGAAGCCACCATACAAATCTATAAAAAAATATTTTTAAATTAATTATGATGTAATTTACTCAATTTAATGTGTAAACGGGTCAAACATTAATGTTCGACGAAGAATATTGTTAAGTTCACCTCCTTAAGATTGTCGAATTTGTAAAAAAAAAAACTTTAGACTGACTTAAATTTACACAACAATTGGACCGCGTTATATGTACATTATTTGACTAAGCGATTTATCGTTTTTAGGGCCGGTTTATCAATGTTGAGTCAAATCAACATTGATAAATCAACTCATGGATAAACTTGCCTAACAGATAACCTCAGTGAAGCGTTTATCCAACAACTTTCTACCCGACAGGCAGCAACCTACAATATAAAAAATAGATGGTACCCCTGAGTGTTAACATTAGAAACGGAAATAAAACGTGATTGGTCAAATTTGAATAATTGACTTTAGTTTGTGAAGTTGATATAAACAGCTGATCGAGTTTTGGAGGTTAAATTATAAACGACGACCATAATATGGTTATTAATTATAGATTATACAGGGTGAGTTATTAGTATCCCGGCGGACAATAGTTGCTAAACCGTTTGAGAAAAAAAAATAGAACACCCTGTATATTGTGTGCTGATTGAATTGCCCATCAAGTTACCTTTAATTAATGATAAGTATGTCATATATCTAACTTTAGTAGTTTTCCTGATATTTAGAATTTAAAGAATACCCAACTAACAATTTCTTATTTTATTAAAGCTGTAAAAACGTTTCCGTGATAAATTTTATATAACATATTTAGTTTCAACAACGTAATAAAATTTTTTATAAAAGGTTATTGTTAGTAGTGTTAGGTTATGGTTAAAAAACGAAAATTATCATATCTCAAAATCTAAAGCCGACAAAAATTTTTTGACTACGTCATCAAATTCTCCGTAAAAAAGTGTCCATATAATGTCTTAGTTATAATACTCCACCTATAATAATAACCAAGATAATTGCACTTGCTGGATTCACGAATTTTCAAGTTTGGCCTGTAGGGGAAAAACAAAAGACGATAGCGCTTTGAAGTCTTGGCATTAGCAGTTTCTCGAAAAACGAGATCATGACATGTAAGCTACTTTTTTTCTAACTCTTATAGTTTCCGGTTCGGACATCGAATTTGAACCACCCCTGTACAACAATGACATTTTATTACACATTTTTCTTTAAATTCGAAATATCAGGAAAAGTATTAAAATTAGACATAATTATGACATACTTGATGAGCAATTCAACTAGTACACAATATCCAGGGTGTTCCATTTAAAAAACTTAAGAAAAAGCCATTTGAAAACCATCAAAAGTAGCTAAGCTTTATCAACAGCCTGTATAATGTATCTAATATGTTTCAATACTATCATCTACCTGCTGGCTGTGACTATTGTCCGACGTAGTTTCAAGGCAAAATCGGAAAAAATTTCGTTTTTACATCGTTTTTAAAAAGATCCTGTAATGGGCACATTTTGGAAGGATAATTGAATATCTCAGGAACTATGAACGCTGTGAAATAGTAACATATACGGTTGTATAAACAAATTTAGTTGTATCCATTATATGTTAAAATAAATAGGGTGTCCCATTTAAATAAATTGACGTACTCTCCGTTACGCTTAAATGGAACATACTGTATAACTAAAAATAATTTTACGTAATAGAAAGTGATGAGTGATGAGTCAACAACTTTTGTATAAAATATTTTTTTTGTTTTTCAAACGGTTTAGTAACAATGGACCGCCGGGATACTAATAACTCACCTGTATATTAGATTATATTATTATTATTTTTTTAAATTATTAGATTATTATTTATTTTCTATAACATTTTTATATTTGTTTGCCAAATCAATCAGCAAGTTCTTTTCTACTGTACTAAAATTAGATGATCTTTTTACTTTCTCTTGTTTATCCATTTTATCCACCACAATTACAAACTTAATTTATTTTTCACGATATATTTTGATTTTGTTGAAGCAACCAAACTTGCGCGAACATTTTTTTAAATTTCCAACTATATATAATAGGTAAACCCTCAACCAGTACTTCAATTTGGTAGGTATCCAAATGTCATATTTACCTATAAGATAACCCTAACCTATGGGTGGATAAACGATTCAGCGACGTTATCTGTCAGCTACAATTTTAATTGACAGATAAATCGTCTTAATTGGATATTGATAAACCGGCCCTTGGAGATTTTCATGGTGTTTGGTAGGTAAAGGTGTAACGTATCTTAGAAAAAATGCAGAATACCGAAAGACCTAAAACACAATTTGTTTTAAAGGATAAAGCTAAGTGCAAATCACGTTATACGATTTCAACTCCGATTTGCATCATACGTCTAAGAACCGACTTAGATACGACACTTAGGGCCGGTTGTACAATATACTACTACTTATTTTAATAGTTTCAAAATTAACTTTGTAATGATTTTTAGTATCTTTTGATCTTTGATTGCTCACCTTTAGTGAATTATTAGAAGTATAGTTTTTATAAGATATGTCTAGTGCTCAAAGTTTGCGACCTCATGTTTAGCTTTGGTTCGGTTCCTTTATGCAATCCATTTTTGTAAGTTGTTCAATTGTTTTGCTTGTTAACTATTGTAACTTTTGTTTTCTCAATATTGTAGTTACCTATGAAGAAGGAAAAATAAAATTTCCGAAAGCTCGGTAAAGATAAAAGGAAGCCTCTTTTCAATTATCTAGCCTTTGTCGTGTTGGTCGTGTATCCCAATAAACTACTTTAGTTCCTAACAGTAACGACCGTTACTACTCCTAAATTATACCGATAAACTTCCCGACAGCGTTATCTAGCAGATAAGTTGTTTGTACTGTATTACAATGTACAGATATTTTTGTCGGTGAGATTATCGGCAGGATAACTTATCGGGTACTCAGCGGTGCCGATAAAGACACTTATCCGCCAGATATTTATGGTTACCAAGGTTTTTATATAAAAACTTTATATGGTTGCTGCATAGGTTAACCTATAACATTAAACGTTAACCCTATACACGTTATGTCGTTACGTATACGTACAATGTGTCAGTTGTCTGTCGTGAAAAGTTTTTTAAACAATTATTATTGTCAAAATCATAATTCAAACTTCAAAGAAAGACGTTAGCGTTACCATTCTACGGCATAAATCACTAGATATGCGAAAAAACTACTACCAATCGACTCTTATTTCGCCGATAGCAATATTACCGACAAAANGATTCATCGACGTTATCTGTCAGCTACAATTTTAATTGACAGATAATTCGTCTTAATTGGATATTGATAAACCGGCCCTTGGAGATTTTCATGGTGTTTGGTAGGTAAAGGTGTAACGTATCTTAGAAAAAATGCAGAATACCGAAAGACCTAAAATACAATTTGTTTTAAAGGATAAACCTAAGTGCAAATCACGTTATACGATTTCAACTCCGATTTGCATCATACGTCTAAGAACCGACTTAGATACGACACTTGGGGCCGGTTGTACAATATATCGATAAACTTCCCGACAGCGTTATCTAGCAGATAAGGTGTTTGTACTGTATTACAATGTACAGATATTTTTGTCGGTGAGATTATCGGCAGGATAACTTATCGGGTACTCAGCGGCGCCGATAAGACACTTATCCGCCAGATATATATGGTTACCAAGGTTTTTATATAAAAACTTTATATGGTTGCTGCATAGATTAACCTATAATATTAAACGTTAACCTATATACGTTACGTATACGTACGATGTGTTAGTTGTCTGTCGTGAAAATTTTTTTAAACAATTAGTATTGTCAAAATCATAATTCAAACTTCAAAGAATGACTTTAGCGTTACCATTCTACGGCATAAATCACTAGATATGCGAAAAAACTACTACCAATCGACTCTTATTTCGCCGATAGCAATATTACCGACAAAAACAGTTTGTACAACAGCGAATATCTTTATCCTCCTATAAGTTTATCGGCCGGATTGATATCAGGTAGATTTATCGGTATATTGTACAACCGGCCCTCAGATACACCAAGAAATTCTACAATAGAAAAAATAGATGAACCTACAATTTCGGGCCAGTGTCATTTTCAAGATGTTAGTATAAATTTAAAAGTTTATATCTTTTATTTTATATAGAATTTAAGTCTAACTAATTTCGGCCCTTGGCCATCTTCGGGGACTCTACAAATAGATTAAAATCTCTCATCTTATCCATTTTACAAACGACAGCGGTAGAGGTAGTTAGCATAAGATATCACCATGTTGCATATATTTATTGCACTAAAACTAGAACTAACACTAGACCTAGAACTAGAAATATATGTAGGACTAGTCTAGTAGTCTAGTGTTAGTTCTAGTTTTACACTAACACTGT